GCCAGTCTTACTGGGGAGCCTCTCAATCCGTTCTGCGCCCAGTCTGCCAGACGCTGTTGAAGATTTCGGCAATTACCCAGACCATGTGGCAAGCAAAGGCGAGTTCCTGACTTTCAACTACGGACCCTTTCGTCGGCCCTTCGAGCAGCAGCGGTGACTGATGGCCTCGGCGACTCATCTGGCGATGGGGAAGCTGTTGTGACTGGCGCCAGAGCTGACAGGGGAGCGGCGCTTTTTTAATCCTCAATTCCGTAGCCGACCGGCGCGCCGCCTATGCCCGCCAGGCATTGTCCCTGCTAACCCGAGGGTGAGACGTCGTGTCGCCACGACGCCGTTAACCGTTCGAGAGAGGACAACAAAGACAGCATCTTCCTTGGTAGAGACCGTGGCGGCCGCCACAAATCGCCCCGCTAATTAAACGAACAAATCCGCGGACCCTTTGATGTATGCTGTCAGGAGCTTGGTACCTCTCGACTAGCGGCGCACACACGACGAGGAACCCCGCTGGAGCCACCTTGCAGTGCAGTGATCACGACTCAATATTAGACACTCACGTGCACTGTGCATGCTCGTCCCCCTCACCTGATGTGTGTGTGTGATTGGTGTTCCACTCAAAGAGGAGGAACCCGACAGGGCTTAAAAGGACGCCGCAGAGTGCTGGACGTCGCTCTGAACCATGTAACGGTTCAATCACCACGCTGGTGGTTTGTTAAACCACTAACCCTTCTTTGCTGTAAATACGTGTAAATAAGGCCATAAACCTGTTTGTTTTTGTATCCTCTTCTTGTCAGCGTTCGTTTCCTCCACCCGGTTACACCACGCTACCACAAGAGACCGGGTAGACCCCCATTCGCAACAACTGGTGGCAGCAGTGGGATGCCATCGGCAAATTCTTCCTTCCGACCCTTTACAATAGACATTCCCGCACTTGACCTAAAACCTTTCCTCAAACGACACCTCAGAGCACGTTCGCAAAGCACATGAGATGGCTAAACAGAAAACAAACTACGTGTTATCAAGCGACATCTTGGTAACTGGCCGCCAGTATCGAAGTCACGCCACACAGACTTAAAACTTTCAAGGCTAAGATTAGGACACACACAGTACACATTCGTATTTTTTGTCTGGTGGTGATACACCTTTGTGCGAGAAGTGTGGTGATCCACTCACCATTATCCACAATTTATACAATGCTAGGAATTACAGGCTTTAAGAAAAAAAGCACTTTAAATCACCCTACTGAGAGCAAATGCCACTTCATCCATCGATGTTCATCGGTAGGGATTTGCTTTTCAAACATCAGTCATTGCTTGTGTTTTTGAAAGATGTCCGTAACTTTATGTGATCTACCCTGCTAATCTGCAGCTCGACTTCTGAAGAGAGGTCGTCGCTGCACTAGATACATACAATCAAATCCCGGCTGTGGCGGCTGCATTTCCGATGGAGGCGGAAACGTTGTAGGCCCGTGTACTCAGATTTGGGTACACGTTAAAGAACCCCAGGTGGTCAAAATTTCTGGAGCCCTCCACTACGGCGTCTCTCATAATCATATAGTGGTTTTGGGACGTTAAACCCCAGAAATCAATCAACTAGATACATACACTACAAAGCAACTGTCTCGTGGCCTTTAGAAACAAGGACGTTACAGACACATTCGTGCTCCGTCATCTCTCCAAAACTTTATGATTAGAACCGCTAGCCGCTCATTTTCACGCTACACGTCATGTCACTCTCATAGTTTTAATACCTTCATGTTTTACTCGTCTTTAGCGCGAGGATTTTTAGGCCCCTATACAGCCAATAAACATACCCATTGCCCACACCTTTTGTCTGATATACTGCGGCTCCTTGGCTATCATACGGCCTTTACGCCAAGAAACACCATGTATCATCATCGTCATCATCAATTAGAAATGCAGTTTTACATAATGAATACCAATAGAGTTTAACCCACATATAGCAATAGTCAAGTGTGACAAAAATTTCATTTTTATAACCGATAATTTCTGTAAACAAGTTTCACACAAAAAATAAGGGGATGGCAGGCTATTGTGAAGAAACTAGACCGTTTTATGGATGGGGTCAAGTACTGCCATATTGGTCTGTTAACCTTTGTGTTTCAGCAAGCAAGCTAAGTGTTATGGTAGATGCATACGCATGAAAACAGTTGGATGCATGCATACGATGTTTCATAGCCTTAACGCATCAATATAGCAAAAACAAGAAAACATTGGTTTAACAGCTCAAGATGGTGGCACCCAGATGTCTTACAAAGGTGGTCTCTGATATTAAATTGGATATTCCAACAAACATCTATAAAAAGATGACAAAGGTACCAATTTTTCTAACATGTTTAAAAATTCGGATGTGCAAGTCTGAACTTTTCACTGGAACTGTATGTTTTAACAGACGCCACCACCGAAGCTTCCACATCATAGCAGATTTCAAAAGTCAGCTTTGTTGCGATGTCACAAACTGTACGGTGAAGCATATTGCGAATTCAAAGGGCACGCACTGGAGTACATTTTGGTTGTGGGCAGATGTTCAGCAGCTTGAATTTTTCTTTTTCTTTTTTTATTTTCAAAGATTTCATGTTTTATTAACTTTTGGCAGGGACACCCACCAGCCTTAATTCATTATTTAATTGATAATGTGGCATGAGGCATTGCTGTAAGCGAGTTATTTCCCCACAGAAAACATACAGGAAGTTGACTGTGCAGCAACATCTCATTGTTATAAATGATATACTGTTCAAACTGGTGTTTAGGTGGGTTTGACTGTATATATTATATGACACATGCACACATTTACTCACAATCATTTGGAGCTGTCTTACAATACAACACAAGTTATTATGTTGGCCTGAGTAATATTTATGAAGACTTCTAATAATTCAAACAACGCATGAGTTCTCCCGAGTGCAAATTATTGAGAGTCTCCTGTTTGTCCTCAATTTGCAGTCTTGAGTATGGCAGTTTTCGTTTTAGATGTGAAGCAGCTCTTTGACTCCCCTGTGTTTGATTTGATTGATATGTGGGGTTTAACATCCCAAAACCACCATATGATTATGAGAGACGCCATAGTGGAGGGCTTCGGAAATTTCGACGACCTGGGGCTCTTCAACGTGCACCCAAATCTGAGCACACGGGCCTACATTTCCCCCTCCATTGGAAATGCAGTTGCCGCAGCCGGGATTCGATCCCGCGACCTGCGGATCAGCAGCCGAGTACCGTAGCCACTAGACCACGGTGGCGAGGCGACTCGCCTTTGTAACGGTGTCCCTCCGTCTGCACCGCTCCCCTCACTGAAGTTGTTGGAATGGTACCAAGTAACTCACGCCCTCCTAGCAGTGCGTGGTGACCTCTCTGCTTCGCCTGCTGCGCGCTTGTCACATGTCGTCTCTCTCTCGCTTTACTCTCTCCACCGCTAGCAACGCTTGAGTCCACTCCTCACTTAGGCATCATCTCACCTGCGCCACCTCTTTCCATCTGCCGGCTAAATCAAGCGGCGAGCCGGCGCGTGCGGACGTTGCGCGCGTGCCTCGAAATTCTCGTTGCGTGTACAATGTGGACAGCGCGATCAAGCCGACGAGCAAGACGTTGTCACGGCATGCTTTCCGCTAGTGTGTGTGTACCTTTCCCGGTTATTGCCAGCGTTGTAAAAGTTAGCGAAGCCGATCGGGTTCTCGAATGGCGACGTCAACACTGAGGAGGCGCGAGCCAGAGAAGCCGAATGCAAGCGTCGGCAGTGGAAGACCAGCGACACCGAAGAGGTGTGAGTGAAGAACACCGATCGCATTCGAGAATACCGACTGCGCGCTGGTAAAATTGATAAGACTCGAGCCAAGGAAGCCGAGTGCGTCTTCAACGTGTCCCACCTCCTGTGTCTTTGCGTTTCAAACAAACATTTACTGGAGTAAACAGCACCCACGTCAACACCGTTTCAATCGGGTCAACGCCATGCGAACCGCGGCTGCTTTGTACCCAATCAGGATTTTCTTCGGAGGGATGGTTCATAGTGTTTTGCTTACTTTCATGTTTATTCATGCCCTATTTTGATTAACAGTCAGCTGTCTTCTTATTCTGCAGTTTCCTCCTTTTGTGAGTGCTCGAAAGGGAGCTATAATCTAATTTGTTCAGCAAGCCCAAATTATTTCTGTTTAATGGGAACGAGTGGTTTTCAAATTTTGAGGAGCACATTTTAATGGTAGTCCAAAAAAAAAGAAAATAAATGAAATGAAAATTTGGGCTCACCTTTTGTCAGTGAAGTAATTAGAGGCCAAATTAATTGATCAAATAATTATTAATATCTTGATGTGATAGCAAATAGTCAATAGACAGAATTCAAATTTTTTGACACAAAATGATAATAAATGCTCCACCTTACGGTAGCTTTTAGCGAGAAATAAACACGAGAGATGGAAGCCTAAAGAAAGCACGCTAAAAGCTACCGCAAGAATGAACCAACTCGTGAAACAAGTTGCTCCGCCTTCTCAGTGAAAAAAGAACTGCCTTAGCGTATTTCGGGAACAGCGTGTCTGCTTCTGTAATTTCTTCATGTAACCCGACTTTTGTGTACTAGGTTAGCATAATATGTACAGGAAATGTTAAGCATGAGTTTAGGATGAAGAACAACCCCTTTATTTTTACTAGATAGTTGCTGACTTACAAAATTGATGATTCCAGTTGGTATCACTGGGCCTGAAAGGTTTAAAGTGGTCCTGCAACACAGCAGGACACTGCAGTCAAGTGCAGGTGCATGCCCTCAAGCCCAAAATTTCATCAATGGATGGATGTAATGCACGGTGAATGTGTTTAAAGAAAAATGCTTTCATTGGCAGACAAGCAGCAATGCATAGCTTAGATGCAAATTAGTTCTAAATAAATAGCATGTGCTTAGATGTGCCACTTTTTCTATGTTTAAACTTTCCTTTGATTAGGTCTGTGGGCTTATTACTTTAATATTGGTAAAAGTAAAAAATTGTTACCATTTCTATGCAGGTTGGATGAAGTCAAGCAGAATGCCAAAGACATGGCAAAGGAGTTGAGAAAACAGCTGGACCTGCAGCATGAAAAGCTCAGTGCAGAGTACCAGGTATTGTATTTATTAAGTAATCAATAAATAACTATTACTAATAATTCAAAGTCGCTGGGGCCACGAGAAATCTTTGAATTAAGCTGATTTTCGAATGAACAGAAGATACAAACGATGGAAGGCAAAGAAACTTGCAATTATTTAGAGTAACGAGGGCTCATCATTTGCTGTGCCGGCTAAAAAGCTTGCGGCTCCAAGAATTATGTTTTCCCGCAATACCTAGTCTTATTTTTTGTCTAAAACATGCAGGAATGGCGGGTCTCTCTGCTGCCACAGAAAAAAAAGAGAAAAGAAAAAAAGAGAAAATGCTGCCATGATAAATTGAAACGTGCACCTGTGGAAAACAAGATGTGCTTCGCTATCAATACAGTTGTGACACGCGGCCAGCATGTTGCTTGCTCTTCGCTGCGTCGGCGCATCATGATGTGACCATTAGCCCATTCTTTCTCAAAAAAGAAAGAACTTTATAATGGCTCACTATGGTATAATGGCTCACCACGCCACCATGTTTGTGCTGCAACCTGTGGTCTGCAGGACAAAGCATTTTTCAGGCATCTGCAGTGGCATAACTTCTTAGTTTACTGCTGCTACGATCATTGAGAATATTGGCTCACACCAGGCAGATAAGCCCATGTTTTTTCTTACATTATGACTGTACATGCCAACATAATGGAAGGGATATTTCTGGCCTGCTGTATTAGCAGAGTTGTCACAGCGTGAGGCTGCTATGGCCCCTCCGAAAGCAGTCATCCAAAAATGCCGCTCTTGTCTTTCTTTTAAAGTCAATGAGAGCAGGATCACACTGTGGGAAACACTTCAGATCATGATGAGCCTACACCAGGGCAACAGAGCTCTTATGTGTGATAGCTCTCTGCAAGAAACTCGGATGTCAAATTCCTTACTATTGCAAACCAAGTTCTGAAACATGTCATAGGCATTATCTATCAAGTTCAAATACCGATCTTGGAGGCTATACTTCTGCTCTTGGAGATCTGATAAACATCACGGCGGTTGTGCATCACATTCTAAGTGCAATCAAGTATCATTTTCAGAATTAAAAAAAAATGTGTTTCGAGAACATTAGGGGCTGTGATAGCTATGTGATAAAATGGCAGTATTTTAAATGGGGGGGGGGAGTGTGCAATGGCTTCATCCAAAAATTCTCGTCCCGATTAGAGAAAAAAGAAGTGTTGCCATTTAGAGAGTTTAATAGTGAATGAGACTAGTCATTGCAGTAGAATAGTCATTCACAATTTTCTTCCAATCTTCATTAGCACCGTAGTTGTGTCACACATTTGCCTTGCTTATCTTCCAGAAAAAGTTAGAAGAAAAAGACGCCGAATATGGGCAGACTATTGAAAAGTTGAAAAATGAACTTGGAGAAGTGCATAAGATGAGTGCACAGGCGCCAACAGCACCGCTTCAAGAAATGGCTGCTGCAGGGGGAGACTTCTCGACCCTCGAACGTCAAGCGGGAGAGGTGGGCTGGTGTTGACTGTAAACAAGTTTTTTTTTCCTTACGTCATTCTTGATCTCAAGCCACAAAAGATGAGGACAAACATTGGATTGTGTGAACAACTCTTTAGCTCTCATAATCATATGGTGGTTTTGGGACGTTATATCCCACATATCAATCGTCAATCAATTAACAACTCTTTAGTGAAGGTAGACATTGGAAGTGTCAGCACAACTGCCTTTACTATTGTAGAGAATATCCAGTGAAATTGAGAGAAACTCATATTTTCCACCAACATTAATAAACAGAAACCACTCACAATGGGCTTGCTATGTTGCCAGTCCACTTTTGTATACAGTCGAGCCCAGATATAACGGCGCCACTTAAAACGAACTTTCGCTTGAAACGAACAATATCTGGTGACCGTGATAATATACATTGGTTCAATGGCACAAAATCACACTTACAACGAATGTCTCCGAGCGCCGCTGATCAGTTACAGCGAACGGAGTCGGTGGTCTGCCGACTTCCCAGGAAACCAATTTCGACCGCCGATCAGGCGTCGGGGAGGTGCCCATACATTGTTATTAATAAGGGCCGTTCCACGCGCTTCCCGCACAGCCGCAATGCACGTGCCGGGACCCCTACCGCATGCAAGTGGGGGACGAATAAGCCAATTGGCGACGCTCTTTCACCCTCCGCAGCGTCGCCAATTGGCTTATTTGTCCCCCGTTTGCGTGTGGTAGGTGTCCCAGCACGTGCATTGCGGCTGTGCGGGAAGGGCGACGAACGGCCCTAAACGCCGACCCTGCCTCCGCGACCCTCTAGTAGCCGCTCTCCCTAACCCACTGGAAAGCTGTTTCCTTCCTCCATGCCCTGACTGCTTTTAAAGACGATAGTCTTTCTTGGGGACCTTCGACGCAAAAATTTTGGTCTGTTTGTGTGTACATTTGTCTGTTTGTCCACTCTTGACGGCATCGGGCATTTGAAACGGCCGACCTCATTTGCAGCGCCCACCATTGTTGCTTAAGGCTGAGTGTTCAAGCTTGTGTGTTTGTCAATTAAAGAGCAATTATTGTGCATTTCTGGGGCACCATGACAACGCGTTTGTATTCTGCATGTGCGTCTTTTACTAGAAAAGGCATACATAGGTAATTTTAAGGACCATAGCGCTTATCGCGCTGCGCTGACCATGCAGCGCCTGCACGGAACGGCGAGTGTTTCCAACGATTTGCTAAAACGAGACTGTGGTGGTCCTACTCGTCTCCTTACGTTCTACACCTTATCACCTCTGAGAGGGGCGAGCACACCTGTCTCAGAGCCACGCGCTTTGTTTTCGAAGAAAACTGCCAGAAGGCGCTCATGTTTCACGTGTGACGCGGCTTGATGCGCTCGTTCGCCTCCGCTGCACGCTCGAGGCACTCTAACGCAGCGCCTCCAGAATACCACTAACCTATTTTCTTGTGCAGAACATCAAATAAATGTCTTGTTCACTCCACCCGCAAGACGATCGTCTTTCGATGACATTTGCAGATTACATGCAGATACGGGGTCAATTTTGTTTACGTGCGAGTTTAACGGACCTTTCAAGCAAGCTACCCAACCTGCCTCCTTTCCGTGTTTTGGTTTTCAAGGTCGCCCTCCCGCCGCATCCTCCCCTCTCTTTATCGCAACTCCTTGCCCTTCTGTCGCAAGTCTGCTCTTCTCTTTTGATCACAACCCCTTCGCCCGTCTCCACCACTCCGTGACGCCCGCTTCCCTGGCTCGAATTAGTTTCGTTTTGTGACTGGAAACGGGCCCAGAGCTGTTCCACGTGTTTTGGCATGTGTGTCGCATGTGCGCGTCTTGCTTGTTCTTGGTGTGCGTGTGTGGTCATGACAGCCGACGGGAGGACTTGCACGCTTTTTCCTGCCACTCAACAAACATAGAAAGTGTGACCGCTTGGCTTGAGCGTAATCCGCGCGTTAGGTGCCGCGTTGCGGAGCGCTTGCTGATAGCTGTTGACCACCTGGCAGCCAGCTTGCCGCTTCGGGCGTCTTGGTATTCAGCTGTGGAGATGGTGAATATTTCGTGGGCGGCGGTAACTGCTACATGCGCGCGAAACAGTTTTCGCGAGGCGGACTTCGTCCACGTCGGGCTTGATGCCGAGCCTGAAGCTTCCGAACTGCGGCAGCGATTTGTGGCAGCGCGTCGTAGACTCTGACCTGGAAGAGCGGGTGGGACATCTGTTGCGATGATGTAATTACGGTCAATGATGATGCTGTCACTGCGGAACTGTGCACGGATTGGGGCATTGTGAATGAAGTCTGTGGCGAGAGCAATTTGGATAACTCGGATTGCGAGAACGACAAAACTTTTGAGTCTGTGCCTCATGCATCTTATGCCACGGGCCTCGGCGAACGAGCACCCCTGCCATTTTTAAATGAACTCGAGACCGCCCTTATCTCTTCTGCTCTTTAAAACACGTGCATCACGGACTTTTTGGGGCACAAAAAGTTTGTGTTTTCTCTTGCAACTTTTTTAAAAGCTGTGTTTCATTTATTAAGAACTTCGGGGTACAGTGAACGGATTCCGCGTCACGCTCAGGTTCGTTATAAGCGGGCTCGACTGTAGTTGAGGAAGTGATGTTTGTTTAGTCGGTATGCTAGGCTATGCTGAGTGCAGCATATAGTCTGAGGTGTGTTCATACAGTATCAAACCATCGTTTTTCACACATAAACACATAAACTTGGACACATAAAACACATAAACCCTAACTTTCACACATAAAAGAATTGAAGATGTCCTGTTTTGACATATGGAAGTGATCTTATGCGCATGCATAGATTTTTTTCCCCCATTGAAGAAAGCGTTACTTCAGGACAGCCAGCTCGTGTATGAAGATGTATAATAAGCACTTGTCAAATTGCAGCACGTTGTAAAATCATGGCATTGCATGAACTACCAAATTTTGCCAAAAGCTTGATAGTACACTCAAACCTCGTTATCACGAAGTTGAAGGGGAGCAGCAATTATTTTGTTATATCCATTATTTTGTTACATCGATTATAGCAGTTTGTGGCCATGTATGCTAAGATGGGCGCCGCACACCTATAAGCATGCAAAGAAGGAAACCGCCTTGCGGCCGAATGTACCGCTGCGCGACCACGCGTGACATGAAAAATAAACTCAGTCGAATCTCATTAATTTGAACTTTCGGGTAATTCGAACTCACGCTGAGGTCCCGTCAAAGCTATGTGTATTCCAATGGGCAAAAGCACCCTGTAATTCGAACGCGCAAGCACTTGCGACGGTTAACTCGAACATACCGAAAATTCTCTCAGCACCATGCCGAATCCCGCGGCGGCACCTCTTAACGCTGCGTGCGAAGAAAGAAAAGAAGAAAAGGAAAGACTGTGGTGGATTGTTTGCTCTCTCTCAAATGCCAATCTGCGACGCGCCTGTTCCACACTTCTCTTTTTTTTGTCTCTGCACGTAGAGACCCTTCTCCTTTCAAGGCCTCACGCGCAGAGAGAGGGAAAAAAAATGCTGTTGCGGAGAGTCCTCCTTTCTTGGTGCAGAGTAAGCAGCCATGGTAGCAGCAGAGACGCAGTTGTTGCCGTCGTGAGAGGGAAATCGCTTTGCACCACGGCACTCGCTGAGTGCTTCCTCGATCCTCTCCACTGGCTGTGTGAGGACTGCTCTCTCGGCCGTGAGGGGTGTGGCTGTAAGGTCGGCACGGGAGTTTTGGAAGAACTGCTCCGAACGAGCGTCAAACTTCGCAGAAAACGTTATACTTTACACACTACGGTCGTTTTTTTTCCATAGACTATTTGATTGACTAATTTAGTTTTTTATATCTGTTTACTGGTTAATTTTAGGTCGTTACAACGAGGTTTAAAATGCATGGTTCTCAATGGAGTTTTCAAGAATAATATCATGTACTTCAGTATATCCATCATTTCGTTATATCCCGTAACGTTATGACGAGGTTTGAGTGTCATCATCATCATCAGCCTGATTACGTCCACTGCAGGACAAAGGCCTCTCCCATGTTCCGCCAGTTAACCCGGTCCTGTGCTTGCTGCTGCAAATTTATACCTGAAAATTTCTTAGTCTCATCTGCCCACCTAACCTTCTGTCTCCCCCTAACCCGCTTCCCTTCTCTGGGTTCGAGTGTACCCTGTGAAAACTGTTCGCCAGATTTAACAGGCTTTCGAGCACCTCTTTCATAAACGAGTGGTACATCGTCAAAGGTGGCCACACATCAGCAAACCACAAAGTGCATTCATGCCGACTCTCAAAAACCTATGATGAGAATGTCATTGAGTGGCGAAAAATTTTGAAGGTGGGCCATACCATCACAGTTTAAGAACTGGCAAACAAGATTTGGGTAGGCATTGGACCAGTACTGTATTTATTCGAATAGAGTCGAGCCCGCTTATAACGAACCCGAGCCTCGCGTGGCATCCGTTCACTGTATCCCGAAGTTCGAAGTAAATGAAACACAGCTTTTAAGGGGGGACATGGGTCTTAGGGCTCTCTCATTCATTTTTTAACCAAATGTGACAAAAGTTGGCATGCTTACTTAGTTTGTTCTCCCGATTCTCAAAATGTAAAGGTTTTTTCTGTAGCTTCATTAGTTACCGTATAAACACGTGTAAGGGCCGCACATTTTTTTTCAGGAAATGAGGGCCAATTTTCAGGGTGCGGCCCATACACGGAACTTTTTTTTGGTAAACTAAAAACAACGTACCACTTAGCGAACGAAGAGCGTTTATTGCAGTATGCCGCGTGTGCACTTATTTGTCGTCACTCGACGAGTCCTCTAACTCGGAGTCCGAGATGGTGTGTTGCAGAGCACCATCATTCCACAAACAGTCATCTTCGGTGCCATCCAGGCTGTTGGATATCCCAGTGACCTTAAAACTTCGGGACACAATGTCCGTCGACACCGAGCTCCACGCCGACAATACCCAACCGAGAACAGTAGCAAGCGGTGCCCTCTTCAGCCGTCCGGTCGGTGTCTGCTCATGGTTGCCGGT